AACCCCTAAACCCTAAACCCTGCCATTTTCAAGGGGCCAAGGATGGAGCCAAGGAAGAAGGACAGCAAACACTCAGGAGGCGCTCCGCCACGCCACATCGAAATAAAGAACCTCAAAAGAGGAACCCAAGGGTTTAGGGTTTTAGGGTTTAGGGTTTGGGGTTTTTAGGGCTTCCATAAGGCTTCTATAAGGTGTAAAGACCTTCTAGAAGGCTCCTATAACGGTAACTACAAGGAGAAACCGAGACCCTAAACCCTATCAACCCCTAAACCCCTAAACCCCTAAACCCCTAAACCCCTAAACCCCTAAACCCCTAAGCCCCTAAACCCCTAAACCCTAAACCCCTGAACCCCTAAACCCTAAAGACATGAGAAAGGCTTCTTTGGGTGCCTTTTGTGGGGATTTCTAAGAGGCTCAGGGCTCCGAAACCGAGGATCCTACAGGGCTTTGGGTTTACGGCTTAGGGTTAGAGATCTACAGTAGAAGCCCAAAAGTTGGAAACCCAATAGCCTCCATCCTTGAGAGTCATATATAGGGAATCCCAGCACTATTTGTCCGTGATCCGGTTTCCAACTCTTCGGGGGCCACTATAGGACCTCTAGGGGATTTAGGGCCAATATTGAGCAAACATTTAAGGCTTTCTCGGATTCAGGGTTTCGAGATGGAGGGCCTCATTTGGGCCCTCTTCTTGCTTTAAAGCCTTAGGGAGCCGTCAAGAGATGGGTAGGTTCTGGATTTCCGGGATTGGTGGGGGGGGGGGGGTTGGGGGGCCGGCTTGGGCCTGCCGTGGTGTGGTACCTCCCACCTCAACTTTGCTGGAGGTTCCGGGGCTCATGAGGTGTTGCAAGGCGTTTTCACTCGTCCAGGGTGTCGGGGTTCGGCGATGTGTTGCCTTCGGTGGGGCGCGGGACGCCTACTTCCTAAGTTCATTGCTTCAACGCCACTGTTGGATTACTCGGGGTTTAAGTGACGCTTCAGTACTTACTCTTGCGCTATCAAGCTGTTTGGGGTTCAGCGTTCCGGTGCGTGCCACACTCATTACACCCTACTTCGAGATGCCCAGATCTTCAACAACTCAGGTGCAGGGAAACTCGTGGTGAATCTGGTGGTGCTGTCATACGATTATTCTTCAGCGCAAGCCAGATCTCAAGAAAGAGCTGCAAGCCGCCGAGAGACTCGGCGCCCGTGGACAGAAGAGGAGTCACCTGGGTCTCGTTCTACGCCTTTATTTGTGCAGGTCTTGTGCTTCTGCTGGCTCAAGATCCGAGTATATTAGAAAGGGCCTCCCTGAACCCTAAACTCCTAAACCCTAGACCTCAAACCCTAAAGGCTAAACCCTAAACCGCAGGCGGGGAACCTGTATGGAACCGTAGCACAGCAAAGCTCTGTGGAGGATTGCACCCACATTGAGAGGTTGGTTTTCAGGATGAGGCCGGTCTATTCTAGGATAGTATAGGGCCTTAATAGTTAGAATAGGGCTTTGGGGGATATAATGCAACTATAATCAGGAACCCCAAAACCTTATTGAAATTAGTAAGGCCCCTACATTACAGGCTTGAGGTTGTGGCTTCACTGCTTCGGCTTGAGTAACATTGATATGTCGGGATGTAGACTGAGACCGACACAAACCGTCGATATGCACACCCTAACCCATAGATCTAAATAGCTAAACGCTGAACCCATACCCTAAATCCCTAAACCCTGAACCCTCTCCGCCCGGTCGCTGCTATGAGGACATAAGCAGCTGGTAACCGGCTTCGGAGAACCTGCAGGCTCAGGGGGTTGGGGTGTAGGCGTTTAGGTTTTAGGGTTTTAGGGTTTAGGGGTTTAGGGGTTAGGGGTTTAGGTTTAAGGGCTTTAGGGTTTAGAGGTTTAGGCGTCTAGGTTTAAGGGTTTTAGGGTTTGGGGTTCAGGGTCTAGGGGTTTAGGTTCAAGGGGTCAGGGTATAGGGTTCAAAGTCGAGGATTCAAAGTCTAGGGGTTTAGGTTTAAGGGACCAGGGTTTAGGATTCAGGGTCTAGGGCTTTAGGTTTAAGGGATCAGGGTTTAGGATTCAGAGTTGGGGGTGTAGGGCTTAGGGTTCAGGGTTTGGGGTTTTAGGGTTTAGGGTCTCGGGGTTTAGGGTTTGGGGGTTTCACGTTTGGGGGTTTAGGGTTTAGGGTTCAGGGTCTAGGGTATCAGGGTTTAGGGTGTAGGTCGTTGTCGGTGCTCATAGTTTCACGAAGGCTTTCTTTGCTACGGGGTTTAGCAACTAGGACTGGGGGTTCTGGCTTTGGGGGTTTTGGGGAGTTCGGGCTTTATCTTTGCGGACATCGGATCGGAATTTCAGATCGAAGTTCAGGCATTGAGGGTTGAGGGCGTAAGGACTGAAAGCATCCCAGTGTAGATCCCCAAAACAGTGACATGAAAGAACACGACGACGACCACGACGACCACGACCACCAGGACACTAAGGCATCCGAAACTGCTCCTGCAAAAGCATCGCTGAATTATTGGTCCTGTAACCGGTCCAGGAGGATAATGATGATGACGACAGTGATGATGATTGTGATGGTGATGGTGAAGGTGATGACGATGTTGATGATGCTCATTATGATGGTGATTTCCGGCTACTGCTTCTTATTGGCGTTATGTTTCCTTCGTTTGGTACTAGTGCTACTCATCTGACCGCTGCGGTGTCAGTCATTCTTTCCACCAACTCCTTCAACTCTCAACCACCCCATACCTCAAACCCCAACATGCTGAACCCTAAACCCTAAACCCTAGACACACTAAACCCTAAACCCTACATGCCTCAACCCTTCACTGAGGCGCGCATAAGAAGGAATCTAGCATAATTCCCATAGTTTGGGGTCCTTACGGTAATGCAGGATTTATATCATCCACGGTAGCAGCTGGAAGAAGGCCCGACATAGATGTAAGCCTCCTCCAAGTGCCGACGCAGCTCCGTTCGAACATAATCGCTGAAGGCAGCCTGCTCAGGGGGGTTTAGGGTTGAGGGGTTTAGGGTTTAGGCGTTTAGGGTTTAGGGGTTTCGGGGTTTAGGGTTTAGGGAGTTTAATGCCTCACGCCGGGTGTAGGGTTGTCCCGAAAGCATCGCCTTTCAAAGTACAGGGCCTCACTTCCTCAAGGAATCTCCTGGCCTTGCTTCCGTACCACTTGGTGATGGCCGCATGGATGAAGATTCCTGAATATGGGTAGTTCCCTAAATTACATTAGGTCCCCTTCAAGGTCTTTTTTTACAAGGGTGTCGCACTATATATTGGGACCGAAAACGGGACCCTAATTTAGAGAACTACCCGTATCTGCCAGCGGAGTAAGCTTTCAAGAACTTCAGGAGGCTTCTCAGGACGTCGCACAAGGATCCACAAGGCACCTATCAGATGGGTAGTTCTCTACATTAGGGTCCCTCTTTAGGTCCCCAATACAGTATGGCACCCTTATCAAAAAAAGGAGCCCCCAAAAAAAAACCCTAATTGAGAGAACTACCCAGATGCACCCGAAACTCCACGCCCGACAGATGCACCGTACGAGCTGTATTCGGATACCCTAAACCCTACCTATAGCCTCCATTGTAGTTCCTTTTTGGGGTTACCCTTTAGGGTCCTTAGTATATAATTGGTTAAACCAAAAAAAGGAACTACAATGGAGACTATAGGTAAACCCGAAGAGTTGAATGCTTCGGCTGGTAAGCTTCCGCCCAACATAGCCTTCAGCATGGCACTTACATCCCACAGTCCGGAGCATACATGCTCCCCAGAGAATAAAGGCATGGTTGATAACGTTTAGAACTGTTTAGTTTGTAAGCTGTAGGCTTTCAGACTACGGGCTGCGAGGTTTAGGGAGACTGAATCAGGAGGAAAGTGGATGCCGCTGGCCGCAAAAGCATCCCTTGTCATCATCGGAGGCATCAGTACCAGCCTCTTCATATTCGCAAGCGTGGTTCGTGCAGATAGGCCCTAAACCCTAAACCCTAAACCCCTAAACCCTAAACCCCTAAACCCCTAAACCCTAAGCGCAAAAAACCCTAAACCCTAATGTACTGCAGCTGTGGTTCGATCGAACTCCTCGGTGCAATACGCCTGCTCTACATCGAAGGCCTCTAACCTGGACTTTGAATTAACCAGGGAGAAAAAAGTATAGACTTTCAATTTATAGTGGTTCCTTCAAGGAACAAAGTATGGTACTCTAAAACCGAGTAACTGGGCAAAGAGGTTGAGCTTCTCACGGAAGTTCATCCGAAGCCCATACACACAAAATGCCCAGGGCAGCACAAAGAAGAGGTAGCGCACGTAGGCCAGGGACGTTATGCTGTCAACCGTCCGAGACCCCAGTAGGATGGTCTGGTAGGCATAAGTCGCGAGAAGCAGCTGGAACAGAACTCGTTCGATGAACAAGGGCCTGAACGCGATTTTGCCACCAGGGTTCACTTTCCTGTATGCTGCTAGCTCGAAGACACACCACAATCTAGTCCTTAGCTGACCAGGCTCATGAGCCAGAAGCTCCGTTGTGGATATACATAAACCCTAAACCCTACACCCTAAACCGTCACTCCAACACAACACACAGAAGTAACATCTCCTTTTCATGTTTGGAGTCAGATACGGCAGTGACCAAAGGACTCGCAGTTCGTCAGCCACACTCAGGAAACCTGCAATTCCGTAGACGCCACGCTCCATGAGCTTGTGGTCCAGCCTGGGATGTTTGTGGGTTTGGCGTTTTGTGATGTCTTCTTGCGCACATCCCGCAGGCAACTACCCTTACTAGCCCATCGCCATACATACGTACTTGCATTTCGTGCCTCAGCACGACACATCAAAAGCCTAAGCCCCAAGCCCTAAACCCTAAACCTAAAACCATAAACTCCAAACCCTAAACCCCTAAACCCCTAAAGGCTAAACCTAAAACGCTAAACTCTAAATTCGAACTGGAAACCCCTAAACCCTATACCCTACCTATCTACCAGGCAGCTGATGGATGCTGGCAACATCAATGAAGCAGACATCTGGCTTGCCGCACCAGTATGGCCTGAACTGTGGGTGCCGCCAGCAGGGCATGATGAGTGTTTGGAAGGGCTTAGGCTTTTGTTGAGGGTTTAAGGTTTAGGGGTTTAGGGGGTTGGGGGTTTCGGGGTTTAGGGCTTAGGGTATAGGGTTTAAGGTTTTTTTGTCACCCTTTTTGGGGTCTTTTAGGGCTTTGCAACTCCTGAAGGGGTCCCTGAACACTAACCCTGCAGCTAGTTTAGAACTTTGAGCTGCGTTTGATCCAAATTCCGAAACCCCGTGCCCTGAAGCCATGGACACCCTAAACCCTAAACCCTTAACCCTTAAGCCCTAAACCCTAAACCCCTAAAGCCTCAACCTCACCTGGAGGCTTCAGCTGAAGGCCTTACAAGCCCAGGGTTCAGTGCGAACTGGGTCTTTGCAGTAACGAACCCTAAACCCCTAAGCCCCTAAACCCTAAACCCCTAACCCCAAACCCCTAAACCCTAAACCCTAAGTAACGGTTTAGGGGTCCATGGTGTCCGTGTCGGTCTAGTGCTTCAGCGTTGAGGCCAGTGGTCTTCAGGGCTTAGGGGTTGAGGGCTTTAAGGCTTTAGGGGTTTAGGGCTTTAGGGGTTTAGGGTTTAGGGGTTTAGGGGTTTAGGGGTTTAGGGTTTAGGGGTTTTAGGGGTTTATGGGTTTAGGGGTTTAGGGCCTCTAGGGCGATGGCCTGTAACAACAAAACGCTCCCCTAAGATCTGATTTCGGACTTCACAGTTTCGAGCTTTCTGTTGGCTGTGCTTTGGAGTGTAGTAGGGTTGAGGCATACGCCTACATGCAGGCCGCTTAGGGCTTTTAGGGATTTAGTGTGTCGGATCTCAACCTGCAGCGCGGGGTGATCAAGAAACCCCCCCCAACCAAGCGCAGGATCTGCTAGGGGCTGAAGAATCGGAGGTCTAAAATGCTCATCTGAATCATGCGTGTAGGCTTTAGGGTTTAGGGGTTTCGGGTTTCGGGTGTTAGGCTTTAGGGTCATGTTTGTGTCTCTGTGATTCTTCTCCAACTCATTTTGCACTTTGCAGCTGGTACGAGTAGAATCTTCCCGAGCCGGGCCTGCGTGCAGAAGCACCCCCCCCCCCCAAGTTCTCAACACGCAGCCACCCCATCCCGAAACCAAGATGTTACGGCCCAAACACTGTTTCCGTGCAGAGCCCTGGCCTACATTCAGACAGGGGGCCTTTCATACTTGGAACAGGGTGTCACAGCTATAACCCAGAACCCTAGGAAACGATACTGGCAGCTGCTCATATTGAACCCTAAACCCTAAACCCCTAAACCCTAAACCCCTGAACCTCTAAAGCCCTAAACCCCTAAACCCTTAAACCCCTAAACCTTAAACCCTGAACCCCTAAACCCTAAACCCTAAACCCCTAAACCCCCCAACCCCTGAACCCCAAACCCTGAACCCTAAACCCCTAAACCCTAAACCCCCAAACGCGAAACCCCCAAACCCTAAACCCCGAGACCCCAAACCCTGAACCCTAAAACCCCAAACCCTGAACCCTTAAACCCTAAACCCTAAAACCCTAAACCCTGAACCCTAAAGCCCCTGAACCTCAAAACCCCTTAACCCTGAACCCTAAAGCCCCTGAACCTCTAAACCCCTTAACCCTGAACCTGGCCTGTAGGGAGCAGTGAAGAATCCAGCACCGGTGCCCAGTAAGCCTGGGGTTCTTGCTAAAGGATTTAACTTAAGTTACGATAATGGGGATCTATAGTAAATAATATGGTTTCTTATTACAGTAAATTTAAGTTCAAAGTTACTGCAATAATAAAACCATACTATTTACTATAGATCCCTATTATAGTAACTTAATTTAAGTTACCATAATAGGGATCTATGGTAAATAGCAAGGTTTTCCCATTATGGTAACTTAAATTAATTTCCTTAACTAGAATGGGGATCTACAATAAATAACAAGGTTTCCCTACTCTGGAAACTTAAATTAAATCCCTAGATCCCTATTATAGTACCTTAAATTAAATCATTACCTAGACCCTCCATCCACCCTCTATTAGACCCTATCCCCTTGTTTGGGACCATATACCCCAATTTGAGNNAGGGTACAAGGAGGGTCCTGGTATAGACCCCCCCTTTTTATGGAAACTTAAGCTAAAATTCCTTAAACAAGGGCCCAGAAGCTCGAGATGAGGATCCAAAAGCCGAGAGGGCAGTCGGCCACGAAGCCGAGCACGTCGGCCCTGAAGGAGCTGAGAGTGTAGGGTTTAGGGTAGGGTTT